CTTATTTTGACTATTGTATTTTCTTTTGTGGCAACAATTTACTTAATGAATTTGTTTATTGGAATACTAAGTAATGCAATAAACGAAACTAGTGCAAGAGAATTATTTTTAATTCTAAGAGCTGAGGTGTTAGAAGAGATTGAATTATTATATATGACACCTAAACAACGAAGAAAAAAAAATTGGTTTCCATTTATTATGTGAGTTATTTAATTACATGAAAAAAAACCTTACTTTATTATTAATATATTATATTTTTATTGAAGTTTCTATGAATGTCACATAATTAAGCTTCGTGAATATATAATAAGTATTCAAAAAAATTGGAAAGGTTATAAAAAGCCATATTTTTCAGATAATCTTAAAGAAGTTCTTCTACTCCCTGTTGAACAACCTGATCTTATACTCATTGAAGAAAAAATTGCAATTCTAAAAAAATCACAGGATAAGATTATTCAAGATCTAAAATCAATTAAAGATAAGAAAAATTTATTTGGCTAAAACTTTAAGCAAAGTTTCAAATGAAGAATTTCTAAAAAATATATTTGTTCTGAGAGAATATAAATTTTAATTTCTTAAAAGATAATTATTTCACCTCAAATCTGAATAATTTTAAATATTCAACATTACAAATCCAATCTGATTGAAAAATTTTGAGCAAAATAAAAAGTTTCAAACCTTAGTCCAAGTCCTTATTTAAAATATCGACAATTAAATTTTGCATGCTTGTAATTAATAATGCCTGACGAGCATGACAAAACTTGACAAAACCTGATGAAACTGATTAGTATAACAAAACCTGACGAAACCATAAGGTTTCGTCAGAGTTTTGTCAGGTCGCGTAGGTTTCGTCAGGCATCACTACTTGTAATAGACACAGCATTGGATTTTTTTTTTTTTTTATGATTTATAAAATCAAATTAGGATTAGCCTAGAGATAGGACCTGGCATGAAATTTATGCTCTGGGTCACTCACCCGTTTAAAAGATCATTACTGAGTCACAAACTGGGTAGCTTCAAATTAACCTGAATTAATTATCTTATCTGAGTGGCTAATTAGATTGGGTTTTACTTTTTTATAACACAAAACTTACTTAAAAACTTTTAATTACTACTATTACCAGTTATACTAAATACCGAAAACAGATAATTGGAATAGATAATCAAGTTAAAAAAATATACAATTCAGGTTAAATAA